TATAAAAGTGCTACAATAAGTTCCAAGACGTTTGTCTTTAAGATGGTCAATAATCGTCAGTTTCGGTAAGTTCACTGAAGTAGTAGTTTATTGAAAATGTTTGTACGCGTATGTGTGCTAGTACGTGCGTGTCCGTATCTGTCTGATATATCTTTCAGATAAACTTGTTTCAGCCTTGTCAGGAGTTAGGCTCAATCTCCGGGAAAATACGAGCTACCGTAAAATCCCTTATTGAATAAGAGTTTATAACAAAATTTCGAAAATATTGTTTCGAAATAATCACATCACCAAATGTAGATAATTGCCATCATTAATAAATAATAAGTTAAACTATATATTATTTTCATTTTTATTGATAAAGTACAAAGTGTAAGCTGACTTAAACTAATCAGACAAAAGATTCCATTGTTTCCTTTTTGTTAATTTATTATTTTAAATTTCATCTTCTTTTCTTGCCAGTACACTTGAACCGATTATTATTAACTGTTAGTGCACTAAACTAAATGCGATTGAAAATTAAAGTATGATCCCCTTTTTATTCTCTACTTAATTTGCAAAAATATTAGTTAAAACCGTATAAAATGTTCGTTTATTTAAAAATAAGAGATTTTAATGCACAATCTGTTATTAATTGTAAACTAGCGTGAAATGCTTAAGACACAATGCTAGCAACTTTATGCAATTGTTTTATGAACTACAAAGGTATTACCGATAAGAAATGTAAGAATTTAAACTAACACCAGATCTTATATTGAAATTCTTTTTGTTTCGGTTCAATCTTTAATTAAAAGATTCGCCATAGCCGCACCCAGAGAATCCGTAATTTAATTCGCTCCCCTTCTCTTACGCGGCTTGCCATTTTATTAAATTCCACTATTGACTATCAACTGGGTGTCAGATGGAGGTTGAGACTTTTATTACCTTTTATTTTTAATAATCTCCATGAGAATAAAGAGGATTGAAAGACCAGTCGTAAATCCTAGAGGATTTTCATTTACACATCCATGAATCTGTTTGACAAGCTTTAACGAAAAAGAAAACAAGATCGTAACTGGTTCATTTATCTTAAAAATAATTGACGCATAAAAAGGTAGAAACTAAAGAGAATCGTTGTGCCATTTAATTAGACGTGATCAATGTACTGCATGTCCTGAACACTGCCACTAGTTTATCGATTTTAATCCGACCGAAGTTTATGAGTACACACCCCAGTCATATTAATCATTAATTAATCGATATGCGTCAATTTTACATTCTAACATGATACAGAATTTCCGGCTTATCTCTGCCTCCAACGTAATTAGGGATATAATCCCTCATGCCTCTCATTTAATTTATCACTTGTAAATTACAGCACTTAAATTAAACAATTTTCTTTATTGTAAGTGGAATTTAGTCAATGTTGTACATTAATTAATCTTTAAGTAAGGAATTGGTTGAGATAAAATTCAGTGTCACGAGCGGGATTCGAACCCGCCACTCTGCTCTACCGCTTGAGCTATGGTGACTTCGATGCACTCGGACACCAACTTCCCATCTCAACCCACCTTTCACATTTTCCCTCCTTTTTGCCATTTTTAAACTTATTTGGTCAATCGGACCTCGAAATGTAATGGATTGTATATTAATGAAAATAAAATAGGACAGTGTAACTACTCTGAAAGAGCTGATATGACTTTTTAATAATCTATTGGGTTGTCCGGAAAATAATGCAGGATTTTAAGTTTTCATTAAAAAAAATCTATATAAAATATTCTGTTTACGTTTACAGGATTACTCATTTNATTATTTTGATTAAAGAACATTGCTTTAAAGTAACTAGTTTCTTTTTTTTTGTTTAATACCAAAATCCTGCATTATTTTCCGGACAACCCAATAATTGAAGCTAGCTTTAGGAAATAAATTCAAATTTTACCAAACAATTATGTATAATCGTATAAATAGTCATAAAAGTTTAATTTAATTACATAGTTATAATTTTACTACATTAAACTATGTAAGATAGTTTGTACTACGGATTTTATTATTATAAAAAGAAATCGCAACAAATATATGACAACTGTATAGTACTAGATAAACTATCATAATCATAAAAGCTTAATTAAATAAAAATGAAATGTGTGGTGTTTAGTGACCGTTAGCCAATGATTATTTTGATATCATGAGGCGCGGTCTGGTATGACGTAGATGTGTAGTACAAAATCGTCCACAACCTGGAAGAACCAGTACAAAATATTAATATAAGAAAAATAAAGCCTCGCAATACAAACTGAAACTACTACTAAAACCTACTAACTACTGGTGTGACGCAGGTTTTAGAGAAACATTTTTTTTATCATGCTACGTTTCGATCTTTATTGAGATCATCTTCAGGGCTCAATGTGTTTGTTTTCCGTGTAGATGTGTCATTCTTGGGTGTCGTGTTGAAAGTGCCTCACAAGGGTGTTTAGGGGCACTCTCAACACGACGCCCAAGAATGACACATCTACACAGAAAAAAAAAACACTTTGAGCTCTAAAGATGATCTCTCAATAAAGATCAAAACGTAGGTACGATAAAGAAAATGTTTTTCTAAAACCTATGTCACACCAGACCGCATCTCACGATCTCCAAATAAAAAAATTTAAATTACACTTTATTAATTATCTCTAAATAACAAAATAAATACTGTATCATGCCTACTACAAATAATTACATCTAATAACGACAAAATAGTGAAAATTTTGGAATAGAATAGTGTAATCTATAAGCATAAAATAACAATATTGTAAAGATGCTAAATTGTTACCTTGTGTTTCAAATAATTTTCAGTATTAGAAGTATCGACCAATTTTTTCATTTACAAACACTCTGGATCAAGGTATGGTCTTGATCCAGAGTGTCCAAATAATTTTATACTACATTTCGTTTATTAACTCTTTAAAGTCGGCATTACCTAGTCGCATAAAGATTAATTTGGGCAATGCTATTACTAAACCGGCGCTTAGGCATCGTTTACGTCCTTATTTTTGGTCGTTGACCACAAATAAGCTTAAAAAATTGTTCGAAAAATAGCTATATAATTAATTTTTTATACCTTCTTTATTGTACGATTTTGTTGCAAAAAAAACAGTTTTCATTTTAATAGTACTATTAGTAAAAGTTATTTTTGCAAAACGTAAATCTCTTGACCCATCTCTGACCGTGAAGACACATTTGGCGTCTAAAAATACCACATTTCCCACTGCGTTGTGCTAGTTAATCCGTTAAAAACGTGATTTTTATTTCCGGATTTTATTTCCGGCAAAATATCATGTGCGTCTTGTTTATCTTTTTTGATGGCTAAAGCAAAAGCGTAAGGTTTTTAAGATTTAGAAACAATGCTTGAGCACGATTAATGTCATTGTGTTTTTACTGACGAATTTTACTCTTTTTTGAGAGGAGGTTGAAAATGATAATCTAACTAATTAATAAAATAAGGCAAATATGAAAAGTGTGTCGTAAATACCAAAATAAACTTCACGTTGACTATTTTCTTTCTATCATATCAATGCTTCTATTTTACGAGTATTAACAAATGTTGAACAATTTTACATAAAAAATTAACATTTAACTATCGAATTATTTCCTACCAATTTTTATTTTCTCTGCCTTGCATATTAGCCAGAGACGATAGAATCATATTGTAGGTATTTTTTGTGAATGGGAAAGGTGTGTTCTGTGAGTGTACAGCAAGTTTCGGGGGCGATGGTGGGATTCTAGCGGTATCTCGGTTTTCTACGAGCTGATATTAATTAGTAAATGTTTATATTATTATTTTAAAGTTTTGGATACATTTTATGTCTATATATTGTGTGAAAAGGGCATATAAAAATATCTACAAATTTGTCCACAACCTAAAAGACCTAGTAAAAATTTTAATGTAAGAAAAATAAAACCTCGCAATTCAAACTGAAACAACTATTAAAACCTCCTGCTTAAACTACAAAAGAGGCAAAAATAGCTTATAAATAGTGAAGCACTAGAACTGCAAGATGGGAAACATTACTTGAAAAATAAAAGATTACCACGACCCCCCCCCCCACGATCCAATATTCTCGATCTTAACTGATCTTTTTAATGACTGTATAAAACAAGGATATTCCCAACAATCAGGAAAATATACCAAATAAAAATGCTTCTTAAACCGTAAAATTGACTTAAAGAAGGATGCAGCTCTTACAGGCAAATCTGTTGCCTGCGAACCGAAAGAAAGCTTTTCGAAAAACGTATTCTCTGCAAGTCCGATTTCTCTTAATTTGAAGCCAGTGTAGCAGAAATAGTAAATAAGCCCACTAAATTAGAGCAAAAAATAACAAAATCTGTCCTCGACATTCAGCTTATGGGCCTTTTCGTTCGAAATTTGCTTTTTAATAGGAAAAAAACCTCAACGTACATTTTACAACACCACAATAAGATTTAATTAGCGATTAATTATTTGCTACAATTTGTAAACTTTTTAATCCCGGCTGGCTCGAAAGGATGAGTTCTTTCTCAATCTCGCTCGTACCTTTGTATATTTACCGTAGAAAAAGGAGTTGACTCTCTCTCCCTCCCTCCCTCCCTCCTCTAGAATTGAACTTATCGCTCGAAAACACTCACCCCTGGCTTCTTATTAGTGGAGTTAATTAACTCGGATGGCTTATAAAGTTGTGAAACGTCTTAATTGGCAAATTATTCTGTAAGGAGGCTTAAAACTTTTCTACATTTGTACTTCTCGGAAAGGCGCTAATGATGCATATTTGTGTTTTGGTTTAAAAAGCTCTTTAGGATTTGGCGTAGGGGATTATATTTTAATTGTCAAAACCGTAGCAAATTTGTTTTCAAATAATATTAAAAGCTTTAAAAATTATTTATATCATAGGTCGTTCAAACATTCAATGGTTTCAAGGCGTAAATAGAGCTTGAAGATTGTTGTTTATATTTATAATTTTTAAAATTCTCAGTGAACTTGATTTTAACCCTTTCTTCTTACATTGCAGATTTTTGCTAACATCGTGCTTATGTTTGGGGCGAACTTGCTCGGTCTCACGTCCTCTTATTTGGAGGACATCCAGCAAAAGAAAGCGTTCCTGGATACGAAGCAGTGCCTGGAGATGAAGTTGGTCATAGAGGAACAGTCGGCTGAACAAGTAAGTAATCAACCTACCTTCTCACAGAAAGAAACCCTTTTTTACGATAAATTAATAATGAAAGGAAATGACAAATTAAATTAATCCTATCATTAAACGCATTAATTAATCTTTGTATGTAAGGTATTGGTTGAAATAAAAAAGTTAGAGTCAGGAGCGGGATTCGAACCCACGACCTTCGGCTCAATCGTGACTTCGATCCACTCGGACACCAAGTCTCCATCTCAACCTTTCGAATTTTCCCTTCTTTTTGCCATTTTTCAAATGTCGTGTAATTAGGGTTCGATTCTCGGCAAAATATAAATTGGCCACGGAAAGCTGTTATACTTACTTCGTTTTACTTATTAAATCCATTATATTTCGTGGTCCGATTGACCAAATAATTGCTTTCAATTAATTAATCTTTTTAAGTAAGGTATTGGTTGAAATAAAAAAAGTTGGTGTCCGAGTGGATAGAAGTCACGATAGCTCCAGTGGTTAGAGCAGCGGCGTATTGAGCCAAAGGTATTGGGTTTGAATCCCGCTCGTGACGCTACCCTTTTCATTTCAAACAATACCTTACAAAAAAAATTAATTGAAAGAAGTTATTTGGTTAGTCGGACCACGAATTATAATGGATTAAACTCATTATTGAGTTGATTAAACCACAGGTTATCCAATTATCAAAAGCTATTAAATTAAAACCAAATAGGATTTTATATATCCTAATGCTGTTCTTTATGGAAAGTGTTTAAATATTTGTTTTATATTTTCCGAGTGTAAGGAACACACAGTTTTGCAGAAATTCTCTTATCTGTGACCGCTGTTCCGTTCTCCGGATGGTTGTTTTTTTACCCGAGCTTTCAATTATTTCCTTGGAAGAACTCAAAGAATGTGGGATTGAAAGTTAAGGGCCACTAAACGAGATTTGGGGGTTATTTTGGATCGCCTGCTTTTCCCATACGGTATATTTACACCAGCCAATATCTGATTTTATTCCGAATTTTAATAAACCAAATGCAAATATTGTTTCCGCAATTGTTTTGTCATTCTCCTGATTGTGAGATGTTATTTGATTACAATCCTCCAGTCGGAATTTAGCTTTCCTGATAGTATGTTTTTTGTGAGTGTATTTTCATTGCTAAGTGGTGACCTATACAATTAAATGTACTCCAGTTTCATTAATTTATTACATTAAACATTTCAAATTGAATATTTAAAATTAGTATTAAAGAAACTGATATTTATATACAAGGTTGATAACAAAAAATTGAACATACCACTTTTATATTTAAAAAATCTAGTTATATACAACTTCATTAAGTCACAAAAAATTCGTTTATGTAAACAAACATAGTTGTGAAATATCAATGATCTATTCCAATAAAGCACGAAGAATAATAAGTATTGCATTATTTAAATTTTTATTGCGTAAAATTGAAGAGAAATCTTTTAATTTTTAATTAAAAACATCAATATTTTCTCGATGTTCTTCTTTAATAACCTGTGGAATTGATTGATTTGTGTAACTTTATTGAGTTAATAAGCAACGTACACTTGTAGCAACGTAATTATACATAACATTTAGTGGGTATTTGTTTTATGTTCGTCGTTTGATGTCCCTTAGCTTTTGTTGTTAATTAACTCTTCCTTTCAAGCAGTAAAACCGCTTTTGTTCCCTAAGCCTCTTTGTGAGTGAATAGTACAATAATCAATTTGGCACTTTAAAATCAATAATTTATAACACACTGGCATTTTGGTCAAATTTTGTAAAATCGATCTATTAGAAATCGATGCATTAATCATTTAGCTTCTTGTAAATTATAACTGAACAATACACATTACAAATACAGTACAAAGAGTAGTATGCCACACCTTTACCATAAAGCAATTAATTATTTGAATAATAATGTCTCTAATTGTCTAATTTGTGTTAATCGCACTAGTGAATTGTAAGATTAGATTAGACCCAAACTGTCACCATTAAAACTGTGGTGGATCTTAGACTTGGTGGATTCAAGCATGTTCAACTTATTCGCAAACGCTAACATTTGTTGCATTCTATTTTAGAAAATTAGTCGAATGTGTGTGAATTTTTAAAAAAAAGTTGCAGATCGATGTGTTTAATATGTTGTTACAAAAGAATTTGTTAATTATAAATACATTTTATTTCCCAATTATGTTTCATTACATAAAATATTATATTAATGTAAGAATTAAATGTAATGTGAAACATTATTACTTTTATCAACTTACAATGTACATTTTTTCTTTGATAGTACTTTTAGTTACGCGATTATCACCCATAGGTAATCTACATTTACCAGTTTTTTCCTGTTATGATAAAGAAACATTGCAACATAAAATTATATTTACCATAAAAGCACATTTATTATATTTTATTCATTATACCGTATGTATTAAAAGTACACGAACAAAAAAAGAAAAACCACAATTTTTGAAAAAAGTAGGCATTTTTCTTAGACTGTTTTGAGAACTGAAATCGTAATTTCTCGGCTATTGTTAGAAAAAAGAAATCTTATTAAAAACCACGTTCTTAAAAATAAACCGCACTTACATATTAAAATAACATTAAAACTATGAATATAAAAACCTCATCAACCCCTAGACTTGCGAAACGTAAACTCGTCCTAATTTTAACCCCACCTAACCAACTTCTTCCTTAACCTCAACACGTCCTTCTTCGTCATTAATCCTAACCTTAACCCTGACCATACGAAACCTACCTCGCCCCTAACCCTAACTCTATCCTATTAGTACCAAACCCTACCAAACCCCTACTATCATTAACGAAAATAACCCGTCCTTAAGTTGACACAAACTCTGCCCTATCTCACCTAACTCCCTCTAATTCTAATATGGGCCCTACCAATATTAACTGCCTCATACTTAGCCCTAATTCTAATCTAACCCAACGCGGTCTTAAGCGTACCAAGACGTACTCTAAATGTACCAATCCATTCACCTAACCTAATTCACTAACTTAATCCTTCCTCAACTAACTTAATACGAAATAATAAATAATACCACAACCCCCGCTTACCTAACCTAATACCTTAACCCGTCCATAATTCCAGTAACTAACCTAACTGTGCAATATATCACGCAAAAAATGACATTGACAGAAATGTACCACCAATTTCGCATTGCCAACTTATAATTCACTAACTTTATCCATAACCGAAAATTTTCTTGTATTTTTACAGTTGTTAATAACTAATTTTAATGCATATCCATCATGTATGAAAATTAGGCATAAGTGCAAACACGGTCAAAGTACTACCGAACGTAAAACATTCAATTATGACCGGTTAAAAGTTTTTTTTTTATATATATATATTAACCCTAAAAAATTATTTTATATTAATGTTTATCATCGAAATCACTCGTCATGAGCCTTTACAGCCATACGGGATTTTGTATAGACGTAGTGTAAATTTGTGCGGTATGAACAGATTTGAAGTACTGATTATAAACGGTAACTTAGCTTAAATCTGTAATTGTAGATCAAACTGGAAAATGACCACATCCACTAAACTTAAAACATTTGTGTCATATGTATTTTTTTAAACTTTTTATTTGTTTTTTACAACTGCATTCTTCGACGCAACAAGTAAAACAGATAGTATTTACATATAAAATTATTAACGGTAGCGTGAAAGCTTGAACAGTTACCATCCAGAGATGGTAGCCGTTGGTAAATCAATACGATGAGCGAGATGTACTCCGTCCTAGGAGACCGATGTCAACTGTTAAGGTTGTCGCGGGGCCACCGACGCTTCACTCTTCTGTGGGGATTATTAGGTATGATGACCCTAACCATATGTATATTTAAACATTTTTGACAATTTTAACATGTATTTTTTTTTCGAAACAACCGCACCCTGAGTTTTCATATAATCTCGTAGCTGAAATAGTCTCGTAAAACATTTTACGTTTCATTTTACATGTTGTTTCATTTTACGACACATAAACTTTTATAATAACTTAAATTCACTAATTTCGTTGTCCGCTTGACCAATTAATATATTACAATTAATTAAGGTTTTTAGTTGAGGTAAAAAAAGTCAATGGCACGAGCGGGATTCGAACCCACGATCTTCGGCTTGATAAGCCTCAAGTGGTAGAGCAGCGGCTTATCAAGCCGAAGATCGTGGGTTCGAATCCCGCTCGTGCCATTGACTTTTTTATCTCAACTAAAAGCCTTAATTAATTGTTTCTAATATCGTAATAATCGATTTATTTAAATGGCAAATATTTTATCTGAATTCAAACGAAAGCAAAGGGCTCCGAGGGTTTTATTGTAAAACTGTTCTAATAGAATTCACACATATTAAATTTCCATAAAGGATATTTTAATGGATTATAAAAACAATGTTGTTTATTAACAAATATTCTATCAAATAGATGTCAAATGTAAAACTACATTAAAATAAATTGCACCATTAGGTTGCTTAGTTTAGGAATGGTACTTACTATTTAATGATCTTATAGGTTAATATTACGTAACGGTCAACATCAAGTTCAAAAAAGCAATATACACCCTAAAAAATGTTCTAATAAAAATTGTTTTAGCAATTCACTAAACACAAAATTTGCATAAAGGTATGAAATTTATACAATTTGGTTTCTAATCTAATAAAAATGGATATGAAATTAAAGTAAAACTTAAACAATTTATGTTTTTAGATTACATTTATAAAATCATTATTTGTTAATAAACATAAAATTATCACCTAAATTATTGAAAACAGCATTTAGTAATAGCTGTGCGATTTTTGAATAGAGTATAAGCTTAAAATGTTTCTCTGTGATGACAAAATAATGTACATGCGTGTATGTTACTTTGCGTGGAGGGCAATTAATGGACGACCATTAGCTTTTAATGGATGAGCAATTTGAAAAAATTAGTAAATATCAAGCAAAAAAATTTACGACTAAGTTTTTCTTGTTTGTTGTTTTAGTGGTTCGTACATTAAGGGTAAAATTTACAGTTTTAT